CTTGAGTAAATGCGAAATATGGATCCGTTTCTCGTATCATGTGCCTGGATTCCATGTGCAGGCCAAAGAGGCTCTTAGGAGCTCTGGGATAAACGTTTCCTAGAACATTTCTTAAGTAAAGGATTTAATTTTTTTTTAATTCCAGGTCCAGGCTGACTGCTGTAAATGTGATGCACATTGGCTTTTGTTCCTCCACTGAAAAACAAAACAAAATAAAATAAAAACAGTGAAAGGGTACCAGGCAGGCTGAGGGAGATTTTGATCTTTCTGGGTCAGTACTGTTTCAGAGATCTCATTTCCAAACGGATATTTTCAGGACAGTTTATTCTACTTTAAATTCCTGAGTTGCATTAGATGAACTTCGCTTTACGTGCTGGCTATACTGTTCTATGACTCCAAGCAGTTACTTGGCAGGGAATACAGAAGGAAGGATCATACAATCCCTGCCATAAGTTCACCGACTGTGGGACTGTGGGCTAACTCGAATGTTAGTAGGCCCACTGAAATCAATGGAATGTATGTTAGCATGCCATTGACTTCAATGTGTCCACTGCTGAATAGATGTGGATTCAATCCTTCCCACACCAGTAATACTACTTAGTAGGAGAGCTTGGGAGAGTGACTTTTCTGGGCTAGTTTGTTATGTGCTGTCAAGTCAGAAGGGATTTACAGCAACCCTAATAGGGCTTTCAGGGTAAGTGAGATATTTAAAGAGTGGTTTTTCCAGTTCCACTCCCCCAGTGAGTTTCCATGGCTAAGTGGGGATTCAGACCCAAGCCTCCTGACTCCTAGTCCATCACTCTGCCCACTACACCACACTGGATACGCCTTTTGGGTCTATAGCTTTTAAAATCCTTTAACTGGCCCTTGCTTAATATACATCTGGATTGCTATTCTCTTTCTAGAGCAACAGATTCTTAGCATGCTTGCCTCTCTTGTGCATTCCCTGAGGACCTGTGCTGTTCTGTTATTTTTAGGACGTAAATCCGATTTCAGCTTTCATGCTCGGTTTTTGCTTGTATAGTATTGCAGTCTAGCTTTAATCTGCAACAACTCGGTTTTTGCTTGTATAGTATTGCAGTCTAATCTGCGACAACTCCCTTCTCGGCAGTGGCCCCTCGCCTCTGGAACAATCTCTCCCCAGAAATTTGTCTGGCTCCCTCGCTGGGTGTTTTTAACAACAAATTCAAGACCTGGCTCTTTAGGTAGGCCTTTCCTCCTGTCAATACCTAATCTATTTTGCCATCTTCAATTGTACTAATGTTGTTGTTTTATTTTATTTTATTATTACTTGGAGTGTTGTTAGCTGCCCAGAGTAGATTTTGATCTAGATGGGTGGGGTAGAAACAAACAAACAAACAACTTTACTAGTATCTATACTTATTTTTCGAAGACCTGGCTGGTTAGCTTCAGACGGACAATAGGTCCCAGTATGGATGTCTGGACACTTGCGTAATTTATAGATCTTTAGCATCATGCTCCTGTTACAGAAAAGCTGACACAATAGGAGGCAATAAGGGATCTGAAGACTGTGTGTAAATACATTTATACTGGACTGCTCTATCTCTGAACACTAAAAGTCCCCTTGAGAAATATTCCCTCACATGTTAAAACAACTGGAAAACATATGACCTTCTAGATGCTGTTGAACATCAATCTTCAGCCCTAGCCAGTCTGGTTGGAACTAAGGTATGATGGGCATAGCTGCTCATCAACATCTGGACGGCCAAAGCTTCCCCAGTGCTGTGGTAAAATAGGTGCACATAAAAGGGGAAGTGGAGCCACACTTATTATTCCTTTCTCAACAACCCGTCCCCACTGCTTCCACCCACAGACTTTGGGTCATGGGTGACTTGTAGACCGGGCTGTAGGGGCACCTCCCTGGGCCAGTCACAAGCTGTCCTATGGATGTCCTTTCCTTGCTTCAGTTCCTTATTTCCTTCCTTGCTTCAGTTCCAAAGCTGTCCATGTCTAGGAACCTTGATTCAATTGTTGTCCCCACAGAGAATTCTTCAGGAGTCTTAAGCCTCTTTGGCTACAGGATGTGAGCTTGCTCTTCAGATCTTCTGCTCAACATACATAAGCTAGAGCTGGAATTGGTTGGGCAGCTAGTGCTGTTGGAGACAGAACCAGAATGGGGATTCTCCTTGTCTGCACATTCCTAAATATGTAGAAGAACAGCTCTTCATATGTGTGGGGGCGATTAGAGGTCACATTCAGTAAGAACCAGAATGGGGATTCTCCTTGTCTGCCCATTCCTAAATATGTAGAACAGCTCTTGATATGTGTGGGGGCGATTAGAGGTCAGATTCAGTAATATACAGCAGTGGTCCCCAACCTTGGGCCTCCAGATGTTCTTGGACTTCAATTCCCAGAAATCCTGGCCATCAGAAGTGGTGGTGAAGATTTCTGGGAGTTGTAGTTCAAGAACACCTGGAGGCCCAAGGTTGGAGACCACTGATATACAGTATCTGTATTCTCATACATTCATAGCAGCTGTGAGGGAATCTAGTTCGGAACCATAGCACTGAAGTTCCCCTACTAGTGGGGAGGAAACCAGTCCAGCACAGATATCACTTGTAGCTTTCAGAAATGGTTCGGAGGGTCATGGGCCCACAGCTCATTCTTCTTGTCTCCAGCTTTGCTTGTAGAAGGTGTAGGAAGGAAGCCATCTTAGGATTCAGCTGGTGCATTTTCTCTTCCAGACACTGGTTGTTAAAACAAGTGCAGCAACCTTGTATTGGGGGTAGCAGACTGACAGGTGGGCTTGTCTGTCTTGAGTTCTATAATTAATTACTAATTGATTTAGTTCTCCTTAGTTCTCTCCTCAATTTTTACCAAGGAAATAATTTTACTCTTTTTCCTCCATTGTCAGTGGTTGATGTCCATGAGGGAGCCACCTTGCTGACGATTGGTACACCACCACCCTGGAAAGCCATACAGGAGTCTACATTCTTATCTTAGTTTTATCATGTTCATTCAAAGTGGATTTGTTGAAAAAAAGTTTTTCCTTTTGACTTATCACAAGAATTCTCAGTGATTTCTCCCAGTCTATACCCCTAAATTCATCTTTGCTTTTGTTATGTGTGATCAGATAGTTTCTGATATATGTTGGTGCCATGAATTCATAACCTCCAAAATGTCATAACATTAACAACCTTGCTCAGCTGTTGCAGATTTAAGACCATGACTTAATTTCAATCCACCTCTTCTTTGACCTTTCTCTTTTCCTGTTGACTTCAGTTTTTCTCAGTCTTTTCCAGTGAGTCCTGCCTTCTCAATACTGTAGCTTCCATTTAGTCATATTTCCTTCTAGGGAGAATTCAGGCTTGATCTGATCTAGAACCCACTTATTTGTCTTTCTGGAGCCCCATAAAATCTGTAAAACTTTCTTCCAACACCACATTTCAAATGGATCTGTTTAATTACCAATAATTCTGACAGATTATGCTTGGAAGAAGAATGTAACTCAACAAACTAAAACCCTTTACCGAATGATACCATTATTGTAGTGTTAGAAGTGGATATGATAAGCCATCCTGGCCAGTATTAGCTCATATTTCAATCTGCAGAGCAGACTGTTTTCCAGCTGCTTTTTCTGAAGGCATGTCCTATGATGGCATCTTGAACCTAGAACAACCTCCCCAATCAAACTCTTCGAATCTATTGCCAGAATGGAATTTTGTCATTTACCGTATCCATGCAATTTAAGTTGTTATGCTGCTTAATTTAGTTGATTTTCTGTTTTTCTGCTTTTGATTTGTTATGGGTTCCTTTTTTTTAAACTGTGATATCGTTGTGTAATTAAATTGTGTCATGCTGTGGCATATTTTTAAACTGTGATCTTTTGTATAACCGTTTTGATATCCTAGAATAAAGGGTGGGATACATTAATAAAACAAACTTTTCTAGACATTGGTAAGAAGACATAGGTTTAGTTATTCAAGACTGTATGATAGGGAGAGGGAGAACCTGAGACTAATTAAGTAAATAATATGGTGGACTGTTTCTGGCAGCAATCCCTTCGTTGTTGCTGTGGGATATATGTGTGTTAGTGTGAGAAGTTTACTTCTGCCGAGTGACAGGGTTCAGCTTACAATATTTACTTGTGCTCTATGTTACATCTGCCCTTATCCTACTTTACGGTGCCAGAATAAAATGGAAAATGAGATGTTTTCCTCTGGTGACCTCTGCTACAGCTGATCCCTTATGAAATCTGGCCACGTGCATGTTTACATGGAAGTAAGCTCTACTGTAGTAAAGAGGTCTTCCTCCCAGGTCATTGCATAAAGAGGTGAACAACATGGATCTCATAAATGTGCCATCCCGGAACCTCCCTCCCAAATTAGTTCATTTCAGAAAAAAATATTAGGGAATTAAAAAGTCCCTTTTTGCTCCCAGGGGCACTTGGGTATAACTTCCAATTTTTTTTAAATGGGTTCCCAGCACCTCTGAGACCCATACCCCAATTTTGTTGCAATATTTAAAATGGGCAATTAAAGGATGCAAGTGGGCTTTTTCATTAAAAAAAAGAATGCAAGTTTTTGGTATATTAAAAAATCCCTAACAAACCAAAACACCATTTTATGGTGGTGATGGGGATTCAGGAGTGGTGTTGCTGTTTGAGATGACCTTATGTAACTCCCCACCCTCTGAAGATTATCCCGAGACCATGCTATGAATACTTCTTAGTGAAGGATACATAGCATGGTCTCCAGTGGCCATTTCTTGTAATGCACATGAATTATTTTCTGTCCCTCCCCTTTTACCATGCTGTGTATATAGCATTTGCTATTATCCACAGTTTACAGTATCCACGGAGGGGCTTGGAACCAATCCCCAGTGGATGTGGGGGCCCTTCTGTACATAACATGGTTTAGGCCTCCCTCTAGTGCCCAGTTCTGCTAACTTCATCTCTAGAAATACGTATTTCTTGGATTTTTCTTTTAATATGTTCAATATTTTCAGATTGTGGATAAGTGAATCAGCCGATACTCATCCTGTGGATATGAGGGCCCTATTGTACTACTTTTCTTGAGTGTAAACAGCCAGAATATCCCAGCCAGCATGACCAAATCAGTCTGTGTGTGAAAGAGGCCCAAAGGAAACCTGGGCACCACAGTGGTGAGATATACCATGTTATTATTGAAATTATAAATAATGCAGAAAGTGAACACCAATCAAGCATATGGAAACAGCGGCCATCTTGTTTGAAGGCTCAGTGTACTGGAAAAGGGGAATGGTGAAATTAAATATTTTGCTCACTTCATTCCTTGCTTTGGGTATCTTTTATAAAGTACACAATTTTCTGAAATAATAAGGAAGGAACCAAAAATGAGTGTCTGTGCAATCAGATTACTTTTTACAGAGCAAATTGCTGACCGTGAATTTCTTTTCAGGGTTTAAATCGTATCCTATCCAGGTTACACATAAAGAAATATGACAGCTTTAAAAAAAGGTAAAGAAAATGATGGAAGGACATGCAAGGTGATACCCTGTCATAAATCTGACACTCACAAAGTCCGCAAATTTGCTCATTAAATGATCCATGCCTGCAAAGAACAAGAAACCAGCGTCCTTTGAAAAGAAAAGAAAAAATGGTGAGAACACTTTTTATACAGGAATCAAGCAGGGTTGAGATTTAATGCAGCAATGCAACCAGCAGCTTCTTAAAAATCTCCTGATGTGTCAGATTTGATGGCCTCAGCCAGGGACTTCTTATACATTTGCTGGAACTTTTCTTTAATTGACAGAAGGTCAACCTTGAAAGAAAAAGAAAGAAAAAGAAGTTAACAACCATGGAATTTTGCAGAATTCTCTTTGGCCTGATGGCGAAAAGATAGCATGAGGAGATAAGTAAGCTCCTTCCTATGAGTCGTTGAATCTTTACTAGTAAGCTTTTGAAGCAAGCTGGGAAAACAATTGAAATGCAAGGTTCTTACAGAGGGTATGATATGAAAGAATCCTGCTTTGATCTGATCTGATCAGGAGTAAGCTTCCCGACCCCTGGGGGACTCGGCAGTTTCCAGATGACATTTGGCCCATGAGCATGATCTTGGAAATGGTTTCAGACCCATTTTGGAATCTATAGCTTTCATGCCGACATCTCTGTGAAAGAGATCTGGCCACCAACCAAGGGCATCAGCTACAGACGATACAAGATAATGAAAAAGACAAAAGTTCTTTTGAGCATATTTAAATAGGTTCTCATGTTCTGATGTCAGCTGCTAAACACAGGGCTGGCAGGTTGGCTGCATCACATCCTCAGAGATTTCAGGGCCAAAGCTAAACTCCTGGAGAGCAGATCTTTGAACCCAAATGTGGCACCCCCACTTCTAGATGTTTTGGACTTCAACTCCTATGACTGTCCCCCCCCCCAATTGTCTGTGTTATCTGGGACTGATGGGAATTGCAGCCCACAAGTGAGAGACAAGAGTGAGAGACATGCTAAAAGGGTGATCTTTTTCCACCATTCTATCCTCCACTAATTTTCCATACAGGAGATCTTTTGGAGGCTAACAACACTCTACACCTCACAGATATAAAAATATATAAACATAGCAGACATCATTGTTGGTCAACTGTAAAGCATTTTTGGATAGATTTTTAAGACTATGACCTTAAATGACTCACCTCAGCCCTTGTCACCAGGATCCGAATTAAAGTCTCCTTGTCAGTTCCTGTTCCCTTCATGGATTTATGTATACGAGTGGCAAAATAAGCTTGGCAGTCCTTGGCGCATCTCACTATAGAAGAACACATTGTGAAGACCCATATTTGTGCCAACAAAGTGGGAACCCAGGGTCGAATAGGAACATGGAGTCAACAAATCAGGGACACAATTGGAACTAGGGATTTACAGCTTTGAGCAGATATCCTTGTATGGCAGCTGTGGTCTTGCTCTGGGGCAATTTCCCTCCACTAATTTTCCATACAGGAGATCTTTTGGAGGCTAACAACACTCTACACCTCACAGATATAAAAATATATAAACATAGCAGACATCATTGTTGGTCAACTGTAAAGCATTTTTGGATAGATTTTTAAGACTATGACCTTAAATGACTCACCTCAGGATCCGAATTAAAGTTTCCTTGTCAGTTCCTGTTCCCTTCATGGATTTATGTATACGAGTGGCAAAATAAGCTTGGCAGTCCTTTTTGGACTACAACTCCCAGAATTCTCCAAGGAGAAACAGAGAAGCACAAAGCTTCACAGCAATATCATGAATTATCACCTAAAGAAATAGGTTTAAACCAGCACTGTTGCAACAACAAGTCACATTGGCGAATGAGCAATACTAGATGTGGTTACATATTTCAGTTTTCATAAGAACTGAATACACACGCATCTAGTGAGTATAACAGGGAATGGGACAGGGACAAAATGTTACACAGGAGTGGCTAAAGCAAAAGCGTGCTACTTATATACTACCCCATAGCGCTTCAAGCACTTTCCGGGGGGTTTACAAGTTAATTATGCAGGCTACACATTGCCGCTGCCCCCCCAGCAAGCTGCGTACTCCCAAAGTGGGAACCCAGGGTCGAATAGGAACATGGAGTCAACAAATCAGGGACACAATTGGAACTAGGGATTTACAGCTTTGAGGTTTTGGACTACAACTCCCAGAATTCTCCAAGGAGAAACAGAGAAGCACAAAGCTTCACAGCAATATCATGAATTATCACCTAAAGAAATAGGTTTAAACCAGCACTGTTGCAACAACAAGTCACATTGGCGAATGAGCAATACTAGATGTGGTTACATATTTCAGTTTTCATAAGAACTGAATACACACGCATCTAGTGAGTATAACAGGGAATGGGACAGGGACAAAATGTTACACAGGAGTGGCTAAAGCAAAAGCGTGCTACTTATATACTACCCCATAGCGCTTCAAGCACTTTCCAGGGGGTTTACAAGTTAATTATGCAGGCTACACATTGCCGCCGCCCCCCCCCAGCAAGCCGCGTACTCGTTTTACCAACCTCAGAAGCATAGAAGGCTGAGTCAACCTTGAGTTGGCTACCTGGGATTGAACCCTGGGTCATCATGAGCACTTAACCACTGCAACACAAGGCTCTAAGAATAGAACTTACCCAAGGAGTTGCACTTATGCTACTTGGGAGTCCGAGGTCTTCCTGAGAGATGTAGTTCTGTGGAAGGTGCCTTCTATTGAGCCTCATGGGCAGCAAGACTACACCTCTCAGAAATATGTAGGACTCCCATATAGCATTTGACCAGCTTCCTTGTTTCTCGAAATAGAAATAGGCTGAAGAAAGGGGCTAATGGAGGTAAATACAGCTAGTTTGTAGACTTGTGTTTGTGGGCTTCACCTCCCAGAATTCTGGGAAGGAGGGAGATCTGAGTAAGGGTGCCATGTGATCTGAGCAGCCCCACCCCTTCCTCAGATCACAAGCTGTGTGTAGATGTACCTTGCTGGTGCATGTGGAAAGCTGCTTCGGCATCCAGCTCTCTCTTGCTGGATGTAGCAGATGGTGACTGTCTCTGCAGATATAACTAAATTATGATGTACCACAGCCCACATGCCAACCTGCAGCATGGCCATGAGAAGTTAGGAAGTTTTGACTTCAGTTTCAAACTAACAACAACTTGTTCAGATGTCCAAACTTAGACAAACTGCAATTAGTCTGTTTGAAGCCAAATCTGAATCATGGTTTATAAAGATGATTTACTTTAGTAAACTGTAGTTAAGATTAAGGACAGATTAGGGTGCACATATAATGCTATATTCAAGTTACCCTTTTAAGAAAGCAGCTATGCAGACAGAAAAGAACGAGGATTCTGCAAGTCTGAGGCCTGAACTGACATGTCCTTGTAATGCTACACCATACTATAGGGTTACGTGGTGTAATGCTACACCATACTATAGGGTTACTAATCCCAGGTAGCCAGGTCAAGGTTGACTCAGCCTTCTATGCTTCTGAGGTTGGTAAAATGAGTATGCAGCACACTCTGCTTTACATGAACACACACAACTGGTAATTCTATTGTATATGAATCTACTTCCATAACCCAATTTAAAGAGCAGGGAGTTAGACTTACGGCCTTCTAGCCCCCTTCCAACTACATTACTCTATGGTTCTATGAAAATGTTCATACAAAGCAAAGGAACCACTTGAAATCAAGTGGGAAGATGCAGAGGGACTGAGAGTGGACAGGAGATAACCATGGGAATAACATAGATAAAGGCTGAGAAAGATGGGTGAGCTTTTCTCTTTTAGAAATTTTTTTTCTCCTCTGTGTTAATAAAATGCTTAGAGCTCAGTAATGGTTCTGATTTTGTATATTTTTACTTTTAAAAATTAAATACTTTTTCATTTGAAATGTTCTAAAGATGTATTCTTTGGGTAGATGTATTCTTATTAGGGTAGAAGTGTTTATTGTTCATGTTTATTCTTGAGAGAATTTAAATTAAATACTTTTTCATGCCTGTCACTGAAAACTTATCCAGTTTCTTTGCTTTTTATGATTTTATTCTTAAGATCTTTGAAATGTTCTAAAGATGTGCAGTATTCTTTGCCTTATTAGGGTAGAAGTGCTTATTGTTCATGTTTATTCTTGAGAGAGTCTGTACTCTTAAAGAAGATGCTCCTGTATTTCAACAGCCCTGTGTTTATACTTTTTCATGCCTGTCACTGAAAACTTATCCAGTTTCTTTGCTTTTTATGATTTTATTCTTAAGATCTTTGAAATGTTCTAAAGATGTGCAGTATTCTTTGCCTTATTAGGGTAGAAGTGCTTATTGTTCATGTTTATTCTTGAGAGAGTCTGTACTCTTAAAGAAGATGCTCCTGTATTTCAACAGCCCTGTGTTTTATATTCAAGTACAATTTAAGTTCTCTTTTTAAGCATGTCTTTTGCCTACAGCTTTGTTCATAGTTGTACGCATGATTTTGCAAGCTAAAGTAACATGCCTCTGAATTCTCAAATGTTACATATTTGTAATATTTTTGGACTTTATGTTTTTCATATGGAACCTAGAAATTAAGTAAACAAATAGAACTTGTGTAGAATTAACAAGTTCTGGATTTGCCTGGAATTATTGCAATGATGAAGAGATTTATAATGAGTGTGACGTCTGCCCCATGTGGACCCTGCTTGTCTTTCCCTCACAAAGGATTGCGTCGTGTTTTCTTCTCGCTGCCACCAGTGGATTACCTCAATCCACAATATAAATGATGTTTGTCAGAACACTTGTCTTGTGAACAGAAACAGAACTTATTGAAGTGAAGCAGATTGAATAATAACAGAACTTTCTCAGATACACATTATCCATAAGCAAATCACCAACAGTTCTCTCAGTATATACTTCTTTTCTCTTGCTATATCATTACCAGCTTCTCTACCTATTTTTCTAACTAGCTCTCTATCTCTCAGTATCTGTTCCCTCTCTCTCTGACTAACCAGCCCTATCTGACGACTCCTTCTCCTGCCAAGCCTCATGTAGCTGCTGACTCCGCCTCTCCAGTCTTCTCATAGGTTCATGCAAATCAGCTCATGAATATGAATAGCATGAGTGACGTGGGCAATCGTCACAATGAGATACCCAGATGAGTTTACAAACAGCTTGTGACTGATTATTTGGTTTTGTTCTGCTATTAACCCTTTACTGGGGTGTCAGCTATGGCGAATCATAGAATCTGTTCTCTTTGCCCTGGAGGTCTGTAAATCTTTATAGGATTCCTGGGGGAGTCTGTTATCCAAATAAGGATCTGACATTCAGTCATCATATCTGGCTGGGTGATTCTTGGAACTGTAGTCCCAACAGATCTGGAAGGCACTAGGCTGGAAGGAATTGTGTTAGATGAAGCCTAAGTGAAAATATCAAGGCCAATTCTTATAATACAGTAGGGCCCTATTATCCTCGGGATCAGCATCCACTGATTCACTTATCCATGGTCTGGAAATATTAAAAATATTAAAAGAAAAATCCTCCAAAATATACAATGAAGTTACCATTGCTGGCTACTAGACGGAGTCAGAGACCATACTATGTGCAGCATTCACTATTAAATAGTATTCTGTGTTTTTCAACATCTGTGGGTTTTGGGTTTTTTAAAAGTAATGAATATTTGTTTCTTACCAAGAGTTAGATATACCATCTTGAGGTCCCCCGATGTTTCACTCTTAATGACACCTATGTCTTTACCTGTCAGCTACAACATAAATACATACACACACCAACACATTTTGACATTGGTTGTACACTAGTTCAGTACGAAGATACTAGAGATGATTGCTTCTGTCCCCTGCCCTGCCCTTCATTCTCCTTCCTAGGTCTTTAGTGGCAATCTGAGGGTGGATCTACACAGTTACAGCAGTTTGATCCCACCTACCTGCCATGGCTGCGTCCCTGGATCTGACACTTGGTGAGGTGCTTAGGATTCTCCTCTAGAGCACTCTAGCACTCTCTCCTGAACGATGGCGCCAGAGAGCTCCAGCAGAGATTCTAAGCACCTCACCAAACAACAATTCCAAGGATTCCATAGGATAGCGCCATGGAGGTTAAAGTGAAATCAAACTGGTGTTGACCCTTTAATGTAGATGCACTCCTGGTTCCAAAAACATAAGAAAACAAAACAAAAACAAACACCCCCACACCTTCCTAAGAGGAAAATAAGTGGTAGAAAAAGCTGTAAATTTTCCACTCTATGTTGTTTTTAAAGGCACAAGAACAAGGGCAGAGAGACTGCTACCATATCATTGTTCTAATTACCTATAGAGATTAGTGCATCCAAATGACTTTTCTCTTTCCAGGTCAAAGCCAACGAATGAATGAATGACTCTCTGAATTTACTGGACCAACCATTCCGAGACAGATTGTGGATTAAGTGGCCAGCAAGGGTTGGTAGTTGATTTTTTTTAGGGCAACCGGTTGTTAGGAAAGAGATGGAGGTGAGAGACCGTCTGGAAATCAAAATGATGTTGCTGGCTTTCATCTGAAAAAAATCCAAACTGACTAAAAATAATAACAACTCTTGGCAACTGGTTCCAAATTCTTGCTTTTATGCAGAACATGTTTTGTGTAAAAGCCAGACCATCTATTACTGGTCAGTTGGCAAACCTCCTGAATAATAATTAAAAAAAAAACAAATAGCTTGTGAACTTGCTGCAATACTTATTTTTAAAGTGTAACATACTCAGTTCGGCACAACCTAGAACACCTTTTTGTTAATATCATTTTCTGAGCCTAAATTACACAAAGGTGGAACTGAGTTGAAACAATACCTATTAACATTATATTTTATTCCTTGTTTCTATAATGGCCTTGGGCATTTTGCTGCCTCAGGAGAAAAACTAGATGGTAACACTGCTCTTTCCACATACAACCCAGGTTAACAAGGTTATCTTTTCATAATCGGTGGTCAAAAGTACATTATCATAGTCTTAAACATTGCCACTTTAAAAAATTAGCTCAAACGAGCAATTGGATGTACTAATTTCCTAGTTTCCCCCCCGATCTTTTTCAGCTGATCCAAAATGGCCGCCGGAAGACCCAAAATGGCCACGCACAGCGTTTCCGCGCCCTGCCCTCGCTTACCGAGGGTGCGAAAATGTCTGCGCTATGGAGGCACATCACTGAAAGGTGAGTTTGGGGCCCATTGGAACGCATTAAACGAAGTTTAATGCATTCCAATGGGTTTTTCTATTCCGTTTAGCGATGTTTCCGAATAGCTGTATAGGTTTGTGCTGTATCGATGTTTCCGAATAGCGATGGTTAATCCGCTGTATAAGGTTTGTGCTACAAACTTGTTTGAATTGAAAAGGAATTGCTCAAGTTAAGACCCTAAACCAGGAGATAAGCAAAAAGGCATGGGAATGTAATGGTTAAAGAACAGTGTAGTCTAGATTAGGAGTGGGTATATCTGACCTGTCCAGATGTCACAGGACCACAACTCCCATGATTCCTCGCTTTTAACTATGCTGTCTAGGGATAAAGAAAGTTACAGTAACAGCAGCATTGGAGGTCTGCAATTTACTAAACGAAATAAGCTTATGATGTCACCTCAGTAGCTAATAGGGAAATATATCCTGTTTTCTGCAAAGTAAAGTTTGTAGCACAAAGTTGTGTGTTACCGCTGTGAACTATTGGTTCAGCCTAAAGAAAGAGCAGGGCTATGATTAAAAGGTTTGAATCTGAGAGAGAGCAGGAGAGCTGCAGTGGCCAGAGCTGCTGTTGCCAGTTGAACTATTAAGGCCCTTACCAACTTGGTTTAGGGTTTTGAAGATTCTTTGTGTTATGGATACGCAACCCAATTGAGGAAGATATCTTGGATTTTTGTCTTACCTTGAAATCAAAAGATTATTTGAACTTTGCAAATTCTACAAGCAACTTTTGCATTGGTGCTGTTGCTAAGGGCTTGAGTGCACACATTGAAGCATTTTGTTGTCATAATTGCTCCTGCTTTCTGTTATATAAGTATGAATAAGAGATTCCTTTTGTGAAATTGTGTTTGCAAGATTCGTCAACAATAAGCAAATAGCTCCATAGAACTTTAAAGTGTTACAAAATTGGTGTCCACCATGAGATCAGCTGGAATTGCAACACAAAACTGCTCTAATGAATTTGTGCAGAAAGTTAGGTTTACATGTGCATTGCTTCGTGTGCTTCCCTCTAGTGTATTATATTAAACACTGCTTGAAAACAACCACGTCATTCCAACACTGAAAGGTCTGAACTGCCTACTAGTTGTTTTCTCAGTTTCTCAAAATGTCACTGAAAGCTTCTAGTGTCCTAGAGGAAGGAGGGGGTTCAATGAAACCCTTAAATCCAAAAGCTTTTCTCCCCCATGCAGGAATCCTTTATGGGAGAAACGTGTGAGGAAGCGAGGAATAAGGATAAACTGCAACATTTTGTTGCAGGGTTCACTGGTACAGCCATCATAAAAAATTAGTCCAATGCTTCAGCAGACAAAGAACTACCTTCCTCGGTGATCCATTTGTATCCCTTTTGACATCAGATTCCAGATACCTATCAAAGACTTTGTAGTTCTTGAAAGTTCTCACTTACTCCTTTGGTAGGTGTTCTTTATGGATACAATTTGCTGGAGCAGAGCAAACAAAAACAAACAAACAAACAAAAAAGAAGCAAAAGGTAATGTTATTTATTTTTTTTAAAAAAATACAAAAATGATTTATTTCCTACAACATGACAAACCATCACTTGCATCAGTCATAGTCTGAAGATTAATACATATGTGGTGAGCCAAGAAACCAAGTTTAGACTTCTTACTGGCTGTCTATCCAAAACCTCAATATGGATAATTCCCTACTGCTTGTCAAGTACAGGGTCAATATTGTCTCCCATTGTTCTTTTCTGTGACTATTTATTTATTTATGTATTTAGTTTATTTTCTATCCACCCATCTAGACCAAGCACACACGGTCTGAGGTAATTCACTGGTATAATTCTTAAGTCATGAAACTTCTGGTTCAATCACTGGAATCCTTGACAGGGAGCTACTTAGCTTGCTATTAATTAGTCAGTTAATTACTTAATTAATACTTCACTTTTCCTCCAATAAGCTCAAGGTTGTGTATGTGACCCTCCTCATCCACATTTTGTCCTCAGAAAGAGTTGGAAAAGTAGGCTGGCCTGAGAGAGAAAATTACCTCAGCAGTGGTTATTTTCAGTAATTAAAAACTTCTTTCTCTTGTCCTACAGCTTCTTGACAATAAAAAGGATTACACAGGAGCCATGTAAGCAGAAGGAAGAAACGTTTAAGTTCCAAAAAACTGTCATATAAGAACGTAAGAAGAGCCCTGGTGGATCAGGCCAAGGGCCCATCTAGTCCCGCTTCCTGTATCTCACAGGGGCCCCACCAGATGCCTCTGGGAGCACATAAGACAACTAGAGACCTGCCTCCTAATACCCCTCGCCTGCATCTGGCATTTGGAGTTAACTTCCTTTTAAATTATACATCCCCATCATAACTTGTAACCTGTGATGAACTTTTCCTCTAGAAATCTGTCCTTTTAAAGGTCAAAAAAGCCAAAAGTTGGGACTCTTGTGCCTGAGAGAGAAAATCACCTCAGCAGTGGTTATTTTCAGTAATTAAAAACTTCTTTCTCTTGTCCTACAGCTTCTTGACAATAAAAAGGATTACACAGGAGCCATGTAAGCAGAAGGAAGAAACGTTTAACTTCCAAAAAATTATCATAGAAGAACATAAGAAGAGCCCTGCTGGATCAGGCCAAGGGCCTGTCTAGTCCCGCTTCCTGTATCTCACAGCGGCCCCACCAGATGCCTCTGGGAGCACACGAGACAACTAGAGACCTGCCTCCTAATACCCCTCGCCTGCATCTGGCATTTGGAGTTAGCTTCCTTTTAAATCTGGAGATTATACATCCCCATCATGGCTTGTAACCTGTGACGAACTTTTCCTCTAGAAATCTGTCCTTTTAAAGGTCTCTAGGCCAGGTCTCTAGAAAGGAGTTTCACAGACTAACAACACACTGGGTCAGGAAATCTTTTCTTTTGGCTGTTCTCACTCCCCCAACACTCAATTGGAGTGGATGTCCCCTGGGTCCGGTATTGCGGGCGTGAGAAAAGAGCTTCCCTCTATCCACTTTATCTGTTGATAACGTCATCAGCCTTACATAGGTATAAATTACAGAACAGGATTTTAGCTGGTGTGACTGACCCATGGTCACCCAATGAATATTAGGGCTCAAAGTGGACTAGAAACTAGATCCCACAAATTCTAGTCCAGCACTTGGATCTGACAACTACATACTGTTAGTTCTTTGTGAAAGGAAAAGATCATAAGTGGCCCGATACCTCATTGGCCCATGTGCAGAGGATCTCGATCATTACTGTTTCATTAGTCCCTGCCCCCTTCATTGCGTTCCGAAGCTCGTGGGCATCATATTCCCATGGCTGGTCCAGAAGGGCCAGTGCTGTCTTCTCAAAATTCCCACTCAGTTCTCCTTTTAGCACTTCTTCCAGACCCTAAGGAAGTCGTATTTCAAAAAGAAAGCTTGACTATCAGAGAGTCTTTCAAGTCACAGCTGGGATGATTTTTGAAACCAGTCAAGTGAGCGAGTAGAAGCCAACTATGCAGCTTATAGAGGACTGAATCCCTATTAGCTAGAAGCGATGAATGGTCAAATTAGGAAATTTCAAGACTTAATGATCTTAATGCAGTTTGAACTTTGCAAATGGCTCACCTCCTCCCACCTTTATCCTCTTAACAACGCCATGAAGTATATTCAGCTGAGACAGAATGACTGCTCTTCATGGATTTCACAGCCTGTGGGCTTTTAAAACGTTGTGTGTAGTTTTTAAACAAGCTGCCTTGGGTTGCCACAAGGAGAGAAAGGCAGGATAGAAAGTAGTTAATCAAACAAACCCGAATCTCCTAAGCCAGAGTCCAGTGTTTCCACCACCATATCACCCCGACATTAGAACAACCTGGCCAGATTTGATGCACTCTGTATATGTTGGCTATCAACCATGTGGGCTGGAGATGACGGGAATTACAGTCCAGAACATGTGGCCAACAGCATCTTGGGGGAGGCTGCTTTAGACAGTAATGTTATTATTTCACTTAGTTTCAAAACGCAATCATTCCTATAGCATTAGGGTGCCATCAATCTACTTATTCTGCTGAGGGGTGATTTCTTTCCCCAAGTCCTGCATTGATGGTACTACCACGAACCTTCCCTTCTCTGCAGCTAACATCTGGATCAACCACTGTATTGTGATGTCCATCTGGGTCCCCACGAATCATATGGATTCATGTCCTCCTCTGGTTATGAGGTACATGTCACTGTGGCTAGAGGGGAACTGAGAATTACAGTATTGGCATTGAGCACGGGCGGACAAAGTGCAACCCTTCAGGTGATACTGGATCAACCTGGACTCATACATCCCAATACAAAAAGGCTTGCAGTTCAGTTTTCAGTGGGGGCAGGTAGCTACTCCAAATGAGGGATTGCATTTTGCTTCTCTCCCAAGCTTTCTGTGAATGTTACAGGGTGCAAGAGAGGCTGCGGGTTGCAATCACAAGCCTCTGTGCTGCAAGGTCAGAAGACCTGCAGTCGTAAGATCGAATCCACATGACTGAGTGAGCCCCCATTGCTTTTCCCAGCTCCCGCCAACCTAGCAGTTCGAAAGCCTGCAAAATACAAACATGCAAATAGATAAATAGGTACCACCACAGTGGAAAGGTAAATGGCGTTCCGTGTCTAGTCACGCTGGCCATGGGACCATGGAAGATTGTCTTCGGATGAATGCTAGCTCTGTGGGTTGGAAACAGAGATGAGCACCACCCTCTAGAGTCAGACACGGCTGGACAAATTATCAAGGGGAACCTTTACCTTTACCTAGTAAACCAAGTAGACCTAGTGAACATCTTGACTAAAGAACCTTAGAGACAGGCTGGGTCAACAACACAATCCTGTTATTTAGAGCAGACTCATCCAGTGTCAGAACAGGCCTAATGATGTTCAACTTTCAGTAGGAGAGGAACAAGATGTACTGTAATAGTAAGTAAAGCCAAAAGTTGGGACTCTTGGATCTAATATTTATTTAAAGGCCTCCTCCTTCTCAGAGGTGACACTTTCCCTTTTCATTGGATTTCAGAAGCACCTTCAAAAGTGAGACAATCCAGTTCGTAGACTGGTTTATCCCAGGCAATATACCTTGCCATACACGGCCTTATACTTCTCCTTTTTTGTTGCCTCTGATCTGACGAATGACTGGACAGGATCTCAATAATTACCTTTTCATCTGTACCTGTGAAATAGTAATGGAAATAAAACATTTTGCTTTTCACTGAAGATTAATAAGAATATGGCATAATATCTAAAAAACTCCAGACGAGACTACTTTAACAATATCCTTTTATAGTCACTTTGGAAAGTAACCAGGTGTTACTTGTTACATCCAACTAATTTAGATGTTATTCATTAGCCTTTTAAAAAGCAACTATGCAATTATAGGGTGGGGAGAGTGGGACTTGAATGCTTTCCCCTGAAGGGCCCCTGATGAAAACTGCTCTTGGAAGAGCTACTGGCATAGGATAGAAGCCCATATGATTTAGCATCTAAAGCAATGGTTCTCAACCTTTGCACTCCAGATTTTTTTTAGACTTCAGCTCACATTAGCCCATGACTAATGGCTGGGGAGTCTGGGAGCTGAAGTCCAAAACCTATGGGGAGGAAAGTTGGAGAAACCCTGATTTAAGCAAACTTCATGCTCTCCAATTATTCCTGGACTGCAGGTCCTATCAGTCCTAGCTGGCACAATCAACAGTGAGATGTAGTTCTGGGAGGTGTAGTTCCCCCAAAAAAGCAAAAAATGTTGGAACCAGGCAGATCTCTATAGGGAGGGTGTTCCAAAGTTGGGGGGTAACCGCCAAGAAAGCCCTATTTCACCATGCAAGTCCCCCTCACCTCTTTCAGGGATGGCACCTTCAGAAGGGCCTCCTGGCCTGATCTTAGAGGACGGGCAGGCTTGTATGGAAGAAGGCAGACCTCTCTACTGTCTTTCCACTATCAGGTAGTGCTCAAGGTGAGTTAAAATCATAACACAACATAATAAAACAACTATAAACCTATTTCCACCCCCCAAATTGTTGAGATCAAATAAAAGCAAGCATGACCATAAAAACCTTTACAGTCAGTTAAGTCTAAAAACAATTATTTTCATCACAGTAAGGTAAACAGTATTCACAAAGTTAATTTAAAAGATGATCTGTCTGTCTATCTAATTTCTACAGTGGCGTTTGTAGAAGCCTGCCCTTCTTATGAAAGCAGTGAGAGTGGAAACGGATTGCAACTCTGAGGGGGGTGAACTTCTGTGTGCTTCGCCAGCAGGTCTGCGCAGGTAAGTGCATGAATGATGGCATGTGCTGCTAGGGCCCCCCATCTCCTATTGATGAGTTCAGTTTGTGTAAGGGAACGGCATAAATTTTGGTAGCAGATTTCCATGAATTCATGAGGCGCAGATTGTGTTCATGGATGCAGATACAGAATGCATCCAGGCCAGGAATGCAACCAGCACCTTATTAATGAGCAGCAGTTTGCTACCAAGAGTTATGTCATTTGTCTTACATAAATGCAAATCAGAAATAGCATTCTGGTCACTGTATCGAAATGTACAAGGTTTTGATGAACATACAATAATAATTGCAGACAATTAGCTTGCGTGAGTCAGAATTCATTGATTTGGGTTTAATTATTCATTGTAGCATGTGAGGGCAAGAGGAGAAGGTGATGACAGAGGATGAGATGGTTGGGCAGTGTCATTGAAGCAACCAACATGAATTTGACCCAACTCCGGGAGGCAGTGGAAGACAGGAGGGCCTGGCGTGCTCTGGTCCATGGGGTCACGAAGAGTCAGACATGACTAAACAACTAAACACATACACACATTCATTGTAGCAGGACAGAGCCTTCTGGTGAGCAAAGATAACCTTGTCTATATGCTCCTAAAAGCCAGATCAGATATGACAGTGATAAATGTGTTGGTTTTAACTTATACCATTAGCGTATACACTGCTTATAATGGGTGACTTATGGAACCTCCATCCTTTGGACAGCTAGTATTGTGTAGCAGTGAGAATGTTGGATTGAGGCTCAAGATATCCTGCTGAACCATGAATCTCATTAGATAACACTAGGCTAGTCCGTGTCATGTTCCCGGGGGTTACAACAGCAGGGTCCAATAAGCCAATCCTATATCAGGAATTCAGGGAATGCAGAGCCGATATCCAAATACAGTGGTGCCTTGCTTTACGACATTAGTTTGTTCCAGCGAAATCGCTGTAGAGCGAAAACGTTGTAAAACAAAATTAAAAAGTCCATTGAAATGCATTGAAGCCCATTCAATGCGTTCCAATGGGCTGAAAACTCACTGTCCAGCGAAGATCCTCCATAAGGGTGGCCATTTTCTGTGCCTGTGCAGCAAGGAATCTGTCCCTAAGCACAGTGGGGGGCATTTTCTTCAGCCGGTGGCCATTTTGAAACCCAACGATCAGCTGTTTTTGATCATCGTAAAGCGAAAATCAGTTCCCGAAGCAGGGAACCGATCATCACAAAGCAGAAAACCCCCATTCAAACCATAGTTTTGCGATTGCAAAAACCTCACCGTCAAGCGGATTCATCGTTACACAGGCTAATCGTAAAGCGGGGCACGACTGTACCATAGCCAACTCACACAGGGTCAGAGTCCAAAGCCAAAACGCACAACATAGTCCAGGGCCAGAGTCCAAAGCCAAGGGTCCTGAGAACAAGGTTCAAGGTTGTCAGGAGCGTGGATGCAAGCCAGAGGTTTGACTTGTTGCTTCCACGGATTTTCAGTTGTCTGAGAGCTGTTTATATAGTAAAACAGCCCCTTGAACTGCTGGAAACCTTTTCATCCTGTCAGAACTCAGGACTAGTTGATCGGATGTTTCTGCAGGCAGCCTTCAAGCGATCCTCTGACCTTTTTGACATAAGTCTTCCCTGAAGCCTGGCCCTTAGCCTGTCTACCGGGGGAGGAGAATCTGGAGGCGATTCAGGTGTTTGTATTCCTAATTGTTCAGCATTCTCCTCAGCCACAGTTAACCCCTCAGGTTCCAGATCTTCGGCTGCACTCATGACAGTCTGCCATCTAAATTATTCTAAAACAGTGATTCCCAACCCTGGATAACCCTAGATAACCTAGGTGTTTTTGAACTGCAGCTCCCAGAAGGTGGTAAAAATGGAAAAAAATAAACCAAAATTAGGTTTGATCTCCTACCCGGGCGGTGTCTTGGCCTGTATGAGAAGTGGAGGTAGTAAAAAAAATAAATAAAACTAAATTGAGTTTTGATCCATTATCTGGTCAGTACCTAACCGTAAGATATGTTGTTTTATCTAGAAGATAGTTATGTGATATGTATTAACATTTATAAACCACTATCTCTTTAAATTTTGAGCAAGTAATTAACAGTATGAATATGGAAATAAATACAAGAGAAATCAACCCAGAAAGAGAACTATTAAGCTGAACAAGTCAATAGATCCTGGCATATTAGAACATTAAATGGGTAAATATTTCCGACACAATAATCTGTGGAACCCTTCAGACTCGGAAACAATATGTAAAGAGGTCTGTTGTTCATTTCTGAACAACATAAACACTTTTTTTTCTAATTATGGTTACTAAGGAAGGAGCTTAACCGAATACAATCTAATGAATGCTAGGGATGGAATATACAGATTAATCATGCAGAGTGGGCAAATGTTTCAGAAATGAAACATTTCTGTTTCATTTCCAACAACTACACCCACGGCTCCATTAGAAAGGGGGCACCCAGAAAAGGATCCCCACAAATGCTACTCTTTCGCATCTGTGTGGGAAGTCTGCTATTGTAAACCACCACCTTAAACCTACACTATCCAGGTAATGCCTTAATGTAGTTTCCAGAGCTATAGACAAAACAGGAAGCAATCCTGTCTTTGATACTTTCTACGGCTGATACTTTCTCAGCCGTTCAGGTTCATAGTTTGTAGAGATGTACTTTATCTCTACAAACTATGAACCTGAATGGCTGAGAAAGTCCACGGTTAAGCCGGGATGAAAGGTAAATGCAAGTAATTTTGAAAAGCCAAGGTCTCTCTAACTCACTCTGCTCCCAATGGCTGTTGAGGCAGGAAAGCAGCAAGTGGGCAAAGACCGACTGTCAAGAGCTTAGAGCACTGTTGCTCCAGCAATCATGTGACCTCAGAGATCATGTGACACTTTCTCTCATTATGTCATCAGCAGTATGTCAATAGTTATTTGAATGTCTCACACACTCTTAAGCTAAATTTGTGGCTTATGATTGGAGGGCCAGCTTGAATCCCTACCACTGTTAATCCACCTGCCCCTTACCTCCTGGTTCATGATTTGGGAGGGGGCAATTTGAATCCCTCCCACACTTGCCTCTTGGCTCATGATAGGTAGGGTCAGCTTGTATCCATCCCAGTGATATCTTGCCCCCCCCCTACCTCCTGACTGATGATTAGGCCACCAGCCTGTATCCATGCCAGTGTCTTCCCAGCCCCCTCAGCCTCATGAGTCATCCCATTCACACAGCTCATGATTGGCAAACCATGCATTCCTTCCCACCCTTCCCCTCATTATCAATGAAAATAGGGTTTGTGTCCCTCCCTTTTTCCTGCAATATCCTTCCCTAGGAGCATGGCCCTGAGCTACCTTGTCTAACAAAGAAACTTGACTCAGAGTTGTTGTACATGGCATTTTATTGAGCAGGTATCCTCAGAAGCACCCTTGTATCTTAGACATGATTGTGACACGCCCCTCCATGAATGTGACATGCCCACCTGTGAGCATGGGGGTGCCCCTGCCCCCAAGCGGTCCACGCATGGAGCCCACACACCCCAAATGGTCCGTGGTCCCAAAAAGGTTGGGGACTGCTGTTCTACGGCACCTGAGAGCTGGCTTCAAAAGTAGAGAAAACGCCCTGAGGCTCCTAGCTCTGTCTTCTAATCCCTTCTTGTTCTAGTCCAACATGTGTTGGTATGGCCCTCCAGATTTATATAATATGTAAGGAGCCATGAATTATATAATATTACAGTAGCCAAATATATAAATGGATTTGATCAGAATTTGGAAATGGTACTTTCTTGGTACTAGAATTCCCAGCGAAAAAATCCTGCCAATAAAGCTGATTGGTGAGAGATTATAGAATCTGCAGTCTAAAAAAAGAGGAAAAAACATCTGGATGATCGCAACTGTGATAGCTTCTCCACTACAATCAAGTAAAGGGACCCAAATGGTGGCCCCAATCAAAAGTGGTCTTCAATTCCAGCCCTATTTGTGAAAATTTCCCCTGAGAATAGTTTGAATTTGCTGTGAATATGAAAAACAGATTGTCAGATTCAAAGGCTGGAAATGTTGGCAATTTCGCTGGGAATTCTAGCACCAAGAAAGTACCATTTCCATATTCTGGTCAAATTCATGGCTACTTACACGAGTGTGCAGCAATCACCCCTGGCATGAATATTCAGCAGTGTATTTGCATGTACCAATGAGAGCTGTCAGAAGGCGGAGCCAGAGAAACCAGGAGGGAGGGGTGAGTCAGAGGGAGTTCAGCCAGAGAGAGCTGGAGAAAAAAAAAGAGTTTAGGGGTTTTGAGGCAGAGAGAGTGTTTAAGGAGTGATTAGTTAGAGTGTGACCTGCATTAATTAAGATAGAAGAGGTTAAAGTAAAATACTGAAGCTTTGTGTAACTTTAAGAATGTGCTTAAGGACTAGTCCTAAAGCAACTTGTAGTCAAGAAACCTGTTTCTGTTTTAAAAGTTCAGTAATGAGTGGACCTCAGCCTTTTATACGAGACATAGGTTGATAAAGAGATCAACTGGTGGCAGCGTGTTAAAGGGCGTGTTGGGATACTCGGGTGAGCCCTGTGGTTGGTGAAACAAGCAGGGGCCACGGGGTAAACGCCACAGAGTGTTACCCTTTTCTCCTCAGATCTCCTGAGCGTTGTTCTTCACTGAGAGAAGCATCTGTTGTTATCAGACTTTATGCTTCTACAGTTCCCAAATTAATAAGTAACCTCTCACATTAACTTAGCCACTTAAATCTATATTTCACTGGTCATTAAAGACACCTTCCTTTTATTATAATTCAGGGACTTTACAAACACTCACGAGCCATTGTCTAATGATAGCTACATTTACGTATTCTAATAAGTGGGTTTGGCCACACCCTAGAAATCGCCAAGCCGTTTAATTATTTCTATGTATTGATTTATAACTGGAATATATTATTCCTGGCAAGAAATGGGGAAAGAAGCTCCCTTCACACCTGGTAGTCTTGCTGGTGGTTTTCCTGAACCCTGTGGTGGTGTTTCTGGTAGAAATGGCGCACAATCTCTTAGCCTGGGTCCTCTGCCTGCTGTCAGGACAGAGTTGGTATTACTGGATGCCTCTTGTGGTGAAATTAACAAGGCTACACACCTGAACCCTGGAGCTTGAGGCAGATTGTGTAAAATATTAGTAACCCAGCTGTAAATGTTTTGAGAGAGAGAGACTCTTCCTCAAGGGCTGGTTTCATTCCTGTCCTGTGTGTAGCATGATGATGTCGGAGAAGCTCTGACAGAGGTGGTGCAGCCACTCATTTGCTTCCTCAGGTGACCACCATGTCTTTTATGGAGGACAGTCCTCTATTTGAAAGGCTACCAGATGGCAATCCTGTTTTTAGAAGTGTTCCCTGTGTGATCCCATTTCAAGATGAAGAGCCACGAGGAGATACTTCATGTCTTTTCCTCTTGGGTGATGCCACACAACTCTCCCCTTCACCGAAACGTATCGCACCTAGGCTACAGCTCAACTGGACAATCTGGTCGCTGTGGTCATACTGCTGAGAAGAGACTGAGGTGCTAAAGGGCCCCAGGCAAAGTGGAAACCCTCTGTAGGTACCGCTGGAGGATATGGAGCCTTGCTAATGATACTACCTCCTAGCAGGTTTTCTTAGGACCAATGCCACAGTCCTTGGCTTCTCAGTTACTACTAACTTTGGAATCTGGCTTACCAGCTGCCAAGCAAATCATTTCCAATGCACTGTCATGGGTAAAGCTAATGAGTGGTAACAGAAAGTACTGTCTTCCACAGGCACCAGGTTTCAGTGAATGTTACTGTAGTATTCATTGGCCAGGTGTGTGGGAGTGTATTTTCATGTCTTACATAGAAAAAGTAGTTCAATGCTTGGTTAAGCCAGCTAGCGTCTTATGGCTTGTCCTTAAAATAGGACAGAAGGCATTGCTCTGCATTAAAGGTCTGTATGCTAATATAGAAATATTTGTCACATGTTAAATACATCATGCCAGAGTGTAAAAGACTGTAACCAAATGACTTGGGTTCCTGCTTTGTCTGCTCCCCAGATGCTAAACTGTACATCCTTATTCAAGGACCATACTTTCCATTTTGGGCATTCTTTATGCTTAAATTGTAAACTGGGTTTAGACGGAAAAACCCGTCAAACAGTTGATGCTTATTTCCTATAAAATAGAATACGTGATCACTAAAACCTCTACAGCTGATCCTTTGGCCTTTACAGGAATTTATCTTCACTTATTTTATTCTCACAAGTTGGAATGAAACATTTCAAGAACAACTCCCATTAGTATGAGCTTGCA